AGCATCCTCAACCTCTCAGGCTCAAGCAATCCTCCCACCTTAGCTTCCCGAGTAGGTAGGACTATAGGCACATGGCTATAGCCAGCACACCTGGCTAATTTTTGTATTTTTTGTAGAGATGGAGTCTCCCTATGTTTCCCAGGCTGATCTTGAACTCCTGAGCTCGAGGATCCTCCCTGCTTAGCCTTCCAAAATGCTGGGATCACAGGCCAGGATCACCTGGCCACTGTTTCGGTTTTTTAAAGAGTAAATGGTGTCATGCTTGTCCTGAAACCCTTTCAATGGATGGCCACCTTGCTTCAAATAAGATCCAAGACTCTTGGTGCTGGTTTCATCTCCCTTCACTTTCCCCTTTGTCTATCACATTCTCATCACACTGACTTTTTTCAGTTCCTTGAACACAACATACTCTTTCTTGCTTCAAAACCTTCACACATGCTGTGGACTCTGAGCAGATCTCTTCTTTCTCTCTCTCCATTCAGCTAACTCATCTTCTGGAGACTAGGCTTAAATGGCATCTCCTAAGTCTCCTCAGTCTCTCCCAGGTCTCTCCTGCAACATGCTTTAAAAAAAATGTTGCCAGGCACAGTGGCTCACTCATGCCTGTAATCCCAGAAATTTGGGAGACTAAGGAGGGAGGATCCTTGAGCCTAGGAGTTCAAAACCAGCTTGGGCAACCTAGTGAGACCCCATCTCTAAAAAAAAAAAAAAAAAAAAATTAGCCATATGTGGTGGAGTGAGCCTGTAGTCCCAGCTACTTGGGAGGCTAAGGTGGGAGGATCACTTGACCCTGGGAGGTTGAGGCCGCAATGAACTACGATCACACTACTACTGCATTCCAGCTTGGGTGACAGAGTCAGATCCTGTCTCAAAACAAATTCTTTTAAAATTATTGTTAAAAAAATTTTAAAGCCAGTGAAATTTACCAGTACGGGATTGTATATCAACTTTAGGGACACTAATGTTTGTTTGTTGAGACAGGGTCTCACTCTGTTGCCCAGGCTGTAGTGCAGTGGCACGATCTTGGCTCACTGCAACTTCTGCCTCCCAGGTTCAAGCAATTCTCCCACCTCAGCCTCCCAAGTAGCTGGGATTACAGGTGTGCACCATCACGCCTGGCTAATTTTTGTATTTATTTTATTTTATTTTTGATTCAGAGTCTTGCTCAGTCACCCAGGCTGGAGTGCAGTGGCATGATCTCAGCTCACTGCAGCCTCTGCCTCCTGGGTTCAAGTGATTCTTGTGCCTCAGCCTCCCAGTGGTGCAGTCTCCATTCACTGCAGCCTGGACTTCCTGGGCTCAAGGGATCCTCCCACCTCAGCCTCCAGAGTAGCTGGGACTACAGGCTCAAGTCACCACGCCCAGCTAATTTTTGTATTTTTTGTAGAAAAGGGGTTTCGCCATGTTGCCCAGGCTGGTCAGCAACTTTACTGTTTGTTTCTTTTCACCTATTTGTGACAAAGATTAAAATTCCTTAATCTGTCACAGGAGTAGAGTTTTTTGTTTGTTTTTGTTTTTTAAAAAACAACAACAAAAAAAACTTGAGCTCCCAACAGCACCAACTGGCTGGGAGGGGCAGGAACCTTACTGTGACCAAAGCGGGAAGATGGCCTGTGTGGGTGAGGTTGTTAGGGTAAAAGTGGAGTTTTGCAAATGATAGGATGGGCACTTACACAGAACGAAAATGCAGAGTTGCAAATCTTGCCTCAGGGAGCTGGAAAGGGGAACTGTGTGATGAAAGGGGGGTGGGGAGAGGTTCAGAAGAGCCAGTCCTGGAGACTTCATAATTTGCTGCTTAGCTTCTGCTTTCAGCATCTGCTGTGACCAGATGGTGTGCAGTGATCTCTGGTCAGCTAAGCCAAGAAGTGAATAAAACTTCTTTAGTCTTTGTACAGACCTTGTCTGATGGGGAACAAATTGTCCGGTAGCAATTAGCAAAGAACAATTTCTTTTTCTCTCTTTTACTGGAAAATCTTATCTTTGATCTCTAAGTGAACTATGTTGATATCCTGCTTAAATATTGATTGAGGATTTTTCCCTAACCCTGAAATCCTCCCTCCCTGCTACCCCAACCAAATTTAGCCATCCTGAAAGGTTTTTCTTATGAATAGCTGGTCTTCTATCCTCAGTGATTCTTCAACTGGAAGAAAAATACCACTGAAAGAGGAAAAACTTCCATGAATTTCTTTTTTCCCATGTTATTTGGAAGTCATTTTAATGATGTTATTTAAGTAATATAAATTACCACAGAAGTGTAAATATATATATTTTTTTTTTTTTTGAGACAGGGCCTCAGTTTTGTCAACCAGGCTGAAGTACAGCGGTGCGATCTCGGCTCACTGCAGCCTCTATCTACCTCCAGGGCTCAACCCATCCTCCCGCCTCAGCTTCCCAAGTAGCTGGGACTATAGATGTGCACCCCCATGCCTGGCTTTTTTTTTTTTTTTTTTTTTTTTTGTAGAAATGGGGAGATGGGGGTTTGTCATGTTGCCTAGGCTGGTCCCAAATCCCTGAGCTGAAGTTATCTGCCCACTTCAGCCTCACAAAGTGCTGGGATTACAGGCGTGAGCCACCTCACCTGGCCTAAATCTGTGTTCCTATATTTGTAACTTCCATATAGCTATATCAAATCACATATATTTATCAATCAAATTCCAAAAAACTACAAAAGTTAAAAAAATTCAAATTAAAATTACTAACTTATTTTTTTCAGGTGAGGAAAAAGAGTATGTAAATTTGCTTTACATAACTGACTGAAAAATACATTCAAGAAATAGTAAATATAATTTAATACAGTCTCATGTGCTCTAACATCATTAACTTAATGTGACAAGTGATACATGAACGAAATAAAATTACCGGAAACATGAATAGTGTGCAGTCAGGTACAGGGCAAACTCTTTTACATTGAGCACCCTGCACCACCATTGGCTGAGCCATGACTCAAGTCTCCCCCTATTTTCCTTTTGTTTTCTTCATTCCACCATGGTGGAATGAAGGCGTTGCTTGGCTGTCACTTGGCATTAATACCACACAAAAGCCTGTACATGAATGTTCATGACAGCATTATTAATAATAGACAAAAAGTGGAAACAACCCAAATGTTCCTCAACAGATGAATGGATAAACAGAATGTGGTATATTCACATAATGTAATATTACTCATCCATAGAAAGATATAAAGTTGCCGGGCGTGGTGGCTCACGCCTGTAATCCCAGCACTTTGGGAGGCCGAGGCGGGCGGATCACAAGGTCAGGAGATCGAAACCATCCTGGCGAACACGGTGAAACCCCGTCTCTACTAAAAATGCAAAAAAATTAGCTGGGCGTGGTGGCGGGCGCCTGTAGTCCCAGCTTCTCGGGAGGCTGAGGCAGGAGAATGGCGTGAACCCGGGAGGCGACTGAGCTTGTAGTGAGCAGAGATCGCGCCACTGCACTCCAGGCTGGGAGACAGAAAGAGACTCCATCTCAAAAACAAAAAAACAAAAAAACAAAAAAAAAAGAAAGAAAGAAAAGAAAGTTTTTTTCTTTTTTCTTTTTTTTTTGTTTTAGAGACAGGTCTGGCTCTGTTACCCAGGCTGGAGTGCAGCAGCGCCATCTTGGCTCACTGCAGCCTCCACCTCCTGGACTCAAGGGATCCTCCCACCTCAGCCTCCCGAATAACTGTGACCACTGGTACACCCCATTATGCCTGACTAATTTTTCTATTTTTGTAGAGACAGGGTTTCACCATGTTGCCCAGGCTGGTCTCGAACTCCTGAGCTCAAGTGATCCACCAGCCTCAGACTCCCAAAGTGCTGGGATTACAGGCGTAAGGCACAACTGTGCCTGGCCAGGAATGAAGTTTTGATACATGCTACAATATGGGTGAGTTTTAAAACATGCTAAGTGAGAGAAGTCAGTCACAAAAGACCACATAATGTATACTTCCGTTCACAGTGTATATGAAATGTCCAGATTAGGTAAATCCATGGAAATAGAAAGTAGAGTAGTGGTTGCCAGGGGTTGGGAGGAGGGAGGTGGGTGATAAAGAGTGACTGCTAATAGGTATGGGGTTTCTTTTCCAGGTGGTGAAAATGACCTAGAATTATGGTTAGGCTGGGCGCCGTGGCTCACGTTTGTAATCCCAGCACTTTAAGAGGCCAAGGTGAGTGGATCACTTGAGGTCAGGAGTTCAAGATCGAGACCAGCCTGGTCAACATGGTGAAATCCCGTCCTTACTGGAAAAAAAAAAAAAAAATAGCCGGGTGTGGTGGCGCACGACTGTGATCCCAGGTACTCGGGAGGCTGAGGCATGAGAATCACTTGAATCTGGAAGGCAGAGGTTGCAACGAGCCTAGATTGCACCACTGCACTTCAGCCTGGGTTACAAAGTGAGACTCTGTCTGAAAAACAAACAAAAAAAATTAGTGGTGATGGTTGGCACACTTTGAAAACATAAACAAAGCCGGAGGCAGTGGCTCACACCTGTGATCCCAGCATTTTGGGAGGCCAAACCAGGAGGATCCCTTGAGCCCAGGAGTCCAAGACCAGCTTGGGCAACACAGTGAGACCCCCGTCTCTGCAAAAACTTTGAGAAAATTAGCCGGGCGTGGTGGCACGCACCTGTGGTCTCAGCTACTCGGGAGGCTGAGGCGAGAGGATCACTTAAGCCCAGGAAGTCCAGGCTGCAGTGAACTGTGAACTCCAGTCTGGGCGATAGAGTGAGACACTTCAAAAAAGAAAAAACATAAACGAAAAGGACCACTAGAGGGTACATGTTTAAAGGATAGATTTTATGCTATGTGAATATATCTCAAGTAAAAATTAAAAATTTTAAAATTTGCAGGGGTAGGTAGCGCTTATAGAGGACCCTGCGCAACCTAGGGAGCTGGGTCGAAACTCAGCAGCACCAAGATAGACTAAGAGCAGGACTAGCCACTGCCCTTTCCGCAGGACCGCCGTCCTCGCCACGCCTCCCGGGGAGGGAGGGCCTGGCTTGGAGAGCAATGATTGGCCAAGTTCTAGGACGAGGCGGAGCGAAAGGGGGTGCGTCTAGTCCCTCCCGGCGCCGCGAAACCTTAGCTCGCGAGATTTTGTTGGTTCCGCATTTCGGGTCTGCGAGGTGGGGTAGGCGGGCAAGGCGGGCGCCGAGGTTTGCAAGGGCTCGCAGCGGCCAGAAATCCGGCTCCGAGCGGCGGCGGCCCGGCTTCCGCTGCCCGTGACCAAAGGACGGTCCTCTCCCTCTCGCCGGCTCCGAATCCTGATCCGGGCGGGGGCCAGAGGCCCCTCGCCTCCCATCTGAGGACCGAAGATGAGCTTCCTCTTGTGAGTGGGGCCGGGCCGCGGGCACTGGGGCTGCGGGCCGAGATCGTGGGGGAGGCCTCCCCGGACCTGAGGCGAGGGCTGGGCTTGGGGGCCGGGGCGGGGGCGGGGTAGCTGGCGTTTGTTTTGCCTCTGTTTGGGTCAGCGGGGGAGGCCGAGATGTTGGGAGAGGCCGACAGAGGTGAAGGTGAGGTAAAGGAAACGGAGCGTGAAGGTTGGGGAGTAGAAAGGCCCCGGGGCCGTAGCGCCTGCAAACTTTTCCGCCCGAGCGCCCCCGAGGGCGAGGAGACGATCTGGGGGCGGAGCCGCGAGCCCCCAGTTTCCCTCGTCTCGAGCTTCTAGAAACCGTCCATGCCGACTTAACTCGCCGCTCGGTTATAGGTCCAGTTTCAGTATTGTCGGTGTTGAATGCCGCTCCGGGAGAATGTGCGTTGCCGCAGTTTGAGAAGCCTGAAGTTAAGATGCGGGCCTTGGAGTCGGATCGTTCTGTCCAATTCTGATTCTGCCCACTTACTGGTTTTGATTTTAACCAACTTCTCTTGTCCTCGGTAGAATCGTGTGTTTTTAATCATTATGTAATATACCATACAACATTATTCCATAGTACATTGCAGTATTATTATAAATAATTTGGAAAGTTAAAATTAAAACAAATTCATAGTCCCATTACAGAAACAGTATTGCTATTTCAGTGCACTACAGCAATTAACTTGATACACATACCTTAGAATCTCATTTTAGAGATAATGCCTGAGCCCAGTCAAACAAGGCTACAATGAAAAAGCTTGTAAATTCCCTCATGATTCTTATGCACATTAAGGTTTGAGAAGCATTGCTCTGGCAAAGTATTTTTTATTCTCGGGTGGCGCTCTCTACCTTGTATATTGCTTAAATGTGTGTTTCCTGATTGAGTAGTTATCCATTCTTAGTTATGGATGCAATCCACATGCTTGACATTTTTATTAAATACAATATAAAAACACTACATAGGTTTTTTTTTTATTTTATTTTATTTTTGAGACGGAGTCTCGCTCTGTCGCCCAGGCTGGAGTGCAGTGGCCGGATCTCAGCTCACTGCAAGCTCCGCCTCCTGGGTTCACGCCATTCTCCCGCCTCAGCCTCCCGAGTAGCTGGGACCACAGGCGCCCGCCACCTCGCCCGGCTAATTTTTTGTATTTTTTAGTAGAGACGGGGTTTCACCGCGTTAGCCAGCATGGTCTCGATCTCCTGACCTCGTGATCCGCCCATCTCGGCCTCCCAAAGTGCTGGGATTACAGGCTTGAGCCACCGCGCCCGGCCGGTTTTTTTTTTTTTTTTTAATAACCAGAGTTCACCCACTTTATTGTGAGAGACTGGGATTCCTTCCAGTATTTGCTTTTATAAAATAGGACTACTAAGAATATGTTTATCTGCGTCTCATTTTCCCTCCTTTGGGTTATTCTCGTAAAGGAATGGTCTCTAAAATACGATTACCTTGTCAAAAAGCCTGTATGATTTAGATTTAATTTCCATATTAATAGAAGTATTCCTCCCTCCACTTTTTTCTTACGAGTTGATATTTAGTTAGTGAATGCACAGTTGCTTTGTGGACCTTAATGTGAGACTTTTTTTTTTTGAGACCGAGTTTCGCTCTGTCACCCAGGCTGGAGTGCAATGGCACGGTCTCGGCTCACTGCAACTTCTGCCTCCCGGGTTCAAGCGACTCTCCTGCCTCAGCCTCCCTAGTAGCTGGGATTACAGGCGCCAGCCACCACACCCGGCTCATTTTTGTATTTTTAGTGGCGACTGGGTTTCATCATGTTGGCCAGGCTGATCTTGAACTCCTGACCTCAGATGATCCACTCCCGCACCCGGCCGAGACTTTCTTTTTTTAAAACTTGACCTTCTTGATGGGCGCTTGAGTTGTTGCCGCTTTTTGGCCATTATGAATAATGCTGCTGTGAACATATGTGACAGGTTTTTGCGTGGATGTATGTGTTCATATCTCTTGGGTATATACTTAGGAGTGGAATTACTGGCTTACATGGTAACTGTGTTTAACCTTTTGAGGAACTGCCAAACTTTCAAAGTGCTGCACCATTTTACATTCCCATAAGCACTCTATGAGGGGTCCAATTTCCCCACACCTCTCATAGCACTTGTTAATTTTCTTTTTTTAATAGTCATCCTAAGTGGATGTGGAGTGGTATCTCCTGATTTTGATTTGCATTTCCCTAATGACTAATAATGTTGAGCATTTTTTCGTGTACTTATTGGTCATTTGTATATATTCCTTGGAGTAAAGTCTATTTAGATCTTTTGCCTGTTTTTAAATTGGGTTGTCTTTTTGTTTTTGAGTTGTAAGAGTTCTTTATACATTCTAGATACAAGTCCTTATCACATCTGTGATTTGCAAATATTTTCTTCCCTGTTCAATATAATTTTTTATCACGTTAAAAACGTTTCAGATTTGATTTTCAGTGTTTTCATAATTCTTTTTTACTTCTTTTTTTAAATTTAAAATTTTTTTTTATTTGAGACAGGGTCTCACCTGTTGCCCAGGCTGGAGTGCAGTGGCACCATCTCAGCTCACTGCAACCTCCACCTCCCGGGTTCAAGCAATTCTCCTGCCTCAGCCTCCCAAGTAGCTGGGATTACAGGCACTTGCCACCACGCCCAGCTAATTTTTTTTTTTTTTTCCTATTTTTAGTAGAGACGGGGTTTCACGGTGTTGGTCAGGGTGGTCTAGAGCTCCTGACGTCAAGTGATCCACCCACCTGGCCTCCCAGAGTGCTGGGATTACAGGCGTGATCCACCGCACCCGGCTCTTTTTTTTCTTCTTAATCAATCTTATTTAAAGTCCAAATTACTCAGGTAAAGTAAAAGTCTGTAATTCTATTCCATTCCTCTTCCTAGAAGTAATCACCAGTTTTGATGAATTTAGTTGTTGATATTTTCTGTGCATTTACAAAATGGGCTCCTGCTGTACATTTGGTTGTGTATTATGTTTAACCATGTATTAGATCTTTCCTTGTGAATACGTGTACTCTGTCTGGTTTTCTTAACTTCTATACAATATTCCATGATATGGATGTACCATACTTTAATTCAGTCCTCTACTGATAAAATTGAGGATTGCTTGTAGGTTTCTCCCTATTAAAAGCAATCTTGGAAAACAAATCCTTATCCATATCTGAAGGAGATATTTAGAAATAGAATGGATGGCTTGAGGAGCTTTTCAGTGTTAATAGATACTACCATATTGCCCTCCCAAAATGTTACACTTTATACTTTCACCAGTAGTATATTAAAGTACTAGTTTCTCTGTACCCTAGTCTAGTGGTCCTCAACCTTTTTGGCACCAGGGACCAGTTTTGTGGAAGACCATTTTTCCACAGATCTGGTTGGGCAGATGGTTTCTGGATGATTCAAATGCATTACATTGATTGTGCACTTTATTTCTATTATGACATTGGAATATATAATGAAATAATTTTACTACTTGTCATAACGTATAATCAGTGGGAGCTCTGAGCAACTAGACAGTCCCATATGGGAGTAATGGGAGACAGTGACAGATCATCAGGCATTAGATTCTCGTAAGGCACATGCAATTTAGATCCCTTGCCTGCACAGTTCACAATAGGGTTCACGTTCCTGTGAGAACCTAATGCCTCTGCTGATCTGACAGGAGGTGGAGCTCAGGCGGTAATGCCCACAATGGGGAGCGGCTGTAAATACAGATGAAGCTTTGCTGCTTGCTCACTGCTCACCTCCTTCTGTGGGGCCCAGTCTGTGACCTTGGGGTTGGGGGCCCCTACCCTAGTCCACATTTAATGTAATCATTTAAACTTTTGACATTCAGGTTAGGGAAAAAATAAATCTTACTTTAATTGAACAGTTTTTCACATGCTCATTGATTGTCATGCTTCTGAATTGCCTATTCATCTCCTTAGCCTATTTTTCAAAAGGATTCATTATATTCTTAATGAGTTACAGAAGCCCTCTATTATCCAGTTCATCCTTAGTAATATACGTTACAAGTACTTTTATTTGGTCACTTGTCTGTTTGCTCTGTTATGGAAGTTTTAATTGATACTATTTGAAATCTGTCCATTTTTTCTTTGAGGTTTCTGAGTTTTGTGTAGGAAGACTTTATGGATGGTGTGAGATAGGAATAAAAACATCTTTTCTTCAATAATGAGTTGTGCCTGTCTCATTTATTTTCCCTGTTATAAACTTAAAGATGTTAGTGTTTCTTTTACTGTGGTTTGCTTTCAAGGCATCCCAAATATTTTGATATAGAAAATTGGATTTTTGAACTAAACCCCCCTGCACCATTTTGTTTTTTATCTTCCCCACCCCCATGTGGCCTTACTATGTTGTCCTGGCTGGTCTCAAACTCCTGGGCTCAAGAAATCCTCCAGCCTTCGTCTCTCAAATGGCTGGGATTACAGGTGTGAGCCACTGCACTTAGCCCCAGCATTTTCTTTTTTTTTCTTTTTCTTTTTTTTTTTTTGAGACGGAGTCTCACGCTGTCGCCAGGCTGGAGTGCAGTGGTGTGATCTAGGCTCACCGCAACCTCTGCCTCCTGGGTTCAAGCCATTCTCCTGCCTCAGCTTCCTGAGCAGCTGGGACTACAGGCATGCGCCACCATGCCCAGCTAATTTTTGTGTTTTTTTTTTTTTTTAGTAGAGACAGGGTTTCACCGTGTTGGGCAGGATAGTCTCGATCTCTTGACCTCATGATCCACCTGCCTCGGCCTCCCAAAGTGCTGGGATTACAGGCGTGAGCCACCGCACCCAGTCATGGCCCCATCATTTTCTGTAGCACTTCGCGGGGCTGAGGTGGGTGGATCACTTGAGGTCAGGAGTTCGAGACCAGCCTGGCCAACATGGCAAAATCCCATCTCTACTAAAAAAAAAAAAAAATTAGCTGGGTGTGGTGGCGCATGCCTGTAATCCTAGCCACTCGGGAGGCTGAGGCAGGAAAATTACTTGAACCCAGGAGGTGGAGATTGCAGTGAGCCGAGATCTTGCCACTACATGCCAGCCTGGGTGACAGAGTCAGACTACATCTCAAAAAAAAAAAAAAAAAAGGAAAGGGAAATTGAGGCCAAAAGAAGGTTCAGTTTCTCAAGAAGACACAGTTAGTGTTAGATCAAGAACTAAAATCCAGGATCTTTCTCTGTACCAGACTTCTTCAGAGGGCATACTAAATTGCCTTATTTGTGGAATTGTGCTGCTAATCTTGCTTTTACGTGCGGGGAAAAAAAAAAGCATTCTTGTGTTGTGATCATCATTTTCCTATCTTGGCATTTTTCAGATTTTTTTTTTTTTTTTTTTTTTTTTTTTTTTGAGACGGAGTCTTGCTCTGTCGCCTGGACTGGAGTGCAGTGATGCAATTTCAGCTTACTGCAACCTCTGCCCCCCAGGTTCAAACCATTCTCCTGCGTCAGCCTCCCGAGCTGGGACTACAGGTGTGCGCCACCATACTTGGCTAATTTTTGTATTTTTAGTAGAGGTGTGGTTTTACCATGTTGGTCAGGCTGGTCTCGAACTCCTGACCTCAGCTGATCCCAAAGTGCTGGGATTACAGGCATGAGCCACCGTGCACGGCCCAGAGAGTAATTTTTGTTTTGTTTTTACAGACTACTTTATATACCTAAAATTATGTTGTTCTACCTGTTCTACTTCCAGTCTTAAAAATTCATATACTTGCACTTTTAATCTTACAGCAGCAGCCGCTCTTCTAAAACATTCAAACCAAAGAAGAATATACCTGAAGGATCTCATCAGTATGAACTCTTAAAACATGCAGAAGCGACTCTAGGAAGTGGGAATCTGAGACAAGCTGTTATGTTGCCTGAGGGAGAGGATCTCAATGAATGGATTGCTGTAAACAGTAAGTTTTAAAATGCAACATTGCTGTTTTATAGAAAGGTTTTGCTAAAATCTCATTGTTAATGAATTTTCTTTTACAGATAGAACTGTTTTAATATAACAAATTATGTGTAAAGAAACATTAAGTACAAATACATCCAAAGCTATGTTGCTCTTTTCAGAGTACTTGGTGGTAGTTTGTGAGGTTGAGTAGAGGGACCTGAGGAGAAATGATGAGTGCTTTTGGGCAATTTCTGAGGAGAATAGTATGAAAAGCTGAGTAAGGTCAAATAAAAGATTGATAAATGGGCCGGGCGCGGTGGCTCAAGCCTGTAATCCCAGCACTTTGGGAGGCCGAGACGGGCGGATCACGAGGTCAGGAGATCGAGACCATCCTGGCTAACACAGTGAAACCCCGTCTCTACTAAAAATACAAAAACTTAGCCGGGCGAGGTGGCAGGCGCCTGTAGTCCCAGCTACTCGGGAGGCTGAGGCAGGAGAATGGTGTGAACCCGGGAGGCGGAGCTTGCAGTGAGCTGAGATCCGGCCACTGCACTCCAGCCTGGGTGACAGAGCGAGACTCCGTCTCAAAAAAAAAAAAAAAAGATTGATAAATGAAAACATAATGCCTGTCATGGTCTGTAACTTTGTAGCTAATCCATCTATACAGTTTTACTTCCACTCCCAGCAGTACTCATCAGCCTGCATATCCAGAAAAGTCAATTGCAGTTCACATGGACAGTCAGTTGATTGTTGTGACTTAGAGTGTCAGAGGGAATTGGGAGATTGGGAGAAGATGGAGGGATCTGAGCTGAAAGTCACTTGAAGTTCAAGAGAACAAGAGCATGACATGGGACAATATGCTAAGGCTAGAGATTTGAATGTGAGAGTCTCTCATTTCTGAGATGAGATCATTTCTGGGTAATAAAGTTTAAATTAGAAATTTCAGATGTTCCAGGAATAAAAAGTTTAAATAAAAAGTTTAAAACTTTTTATTTATTTATTTATTTATTTTTATTTTTATTTATTTATTTATTTATTTATTTTTTTTTGAGACGGAGTCTCGCTCTGTAGCCCAGGCTAGAGTGCAGTGGCCAGATCTCAGCTCACTGCAAGCTCCGCCTCCCGGGTTCACGCCATTCTCCTGCCTCAGCCTCCCGGGTAGCTGGGACTACAGGCGCCCGCCACCTCGCCCGGCTAGTTTTTTGTATTTCTTAGTAGAGACGGGGTTTCACCGTGTTAGCCAGGATGGTATTTATTTATTTATTTTTGAGACAGTCTCGCTCTATCACCCTGGCTGGAGTGCAATGGCTCGATCTTGGCTCACTGCAGCCTCTGCCTCCCAGGTTCAAGCAATTCTCCAGTCTCAGTCTTTTGAGTAGCTGGGATTACAGGCGCATGCTGCCTCACCCAGCTAATTTTTTATATTTTAGTAGAGACGAGGTTTCACCATGTTGGCCAGGCTGGTCTTGAACTCCTGAGTTCAGGCAATCTGCCTGCCTTGGCCTCCCAAAGTGCTAGGATTACAGGCGTGAGCCACCGTGCCCGGCCTAAAACTTTTTAATGGAAAATTTCAAACATACAAAAGTAGAGAGACTAAGTCCAGTGAATTCCAGGTATTCATTCCATTACCCAGCTCCAACAAATACCAGTTTGTGACCAATTCTTCTTCTTCTGTATGCCACCCTGATTATTTTAAGCAAATCCCAGAGATGATATTTTATCTATAAATATTTCAATAAGGTATGTCTAAAAGACAAGAACTTGTAAAGATAATGACAGTGCCATCATCCTTTAACTTACCAAATATCTGGTCAATGTTCACATTTTTCATGACTGTCCTATAAATGTTTCTTTTTTGTTTGTTTGTTTTTGAGATGGAGTCTTGCTCTGTCGCCCACATTGGCGTGCAGTGGCGAGATCTCAGCTCACTGCAGCCTCCACCTCCACCTCCCGGGTTCAAGCGATTCTCCTGCCTCTGCCTCCGCCTCCCGAGTAGCTGGGTGGGATTACAGGTGCCCGCCACCACGCCCGGCTAAGTTTTGTATTTTTAGCAGAGATGAAGTTTTGCCATGTTGGCCAGGCTGGTCTCGAACTCTTGATCTCAAGTGATCTGCCCGCCTCAGCCTCTCAAAGTGCTGGGATTACAGGCATGAGCCACTGCACCTGGCCAAATGTTTTCTTTTTTTTTTTTTTTTTTTTTTGAGGCGGAGTCTCGCTCTGTCGCCCAGGCTGGAGTGCAGTGGCCAGATCTCAGCTCACTGCAAGCTCCGCCTCCCGGGTTTACGCCATTCTCCTGTCTCAGCCACCCGAGTAGCTGGGACTACAGGCACCCGCCACATTGCCCCGCTAGTTTTTTGTATTTCTTAGTAGACACGGGGTTTCACAGTGTTAGCCAGGATGGTCTCGATCTCCTGACCTCGTGATCCACCCGTCTCGGCCTCCCAAAGTGCTGGGATTACAGGCCTGAGCCACTGCGCCCGGCCAATGTTTTCTTTTTAAAATTTTTTTTGCCCTGAAACTTTATGCTTCGTTTAAATCAGGATCCGAAGAGGCCTGTGTGTATGCTTCTTGAATCCCTCTTTTTTTTCCTTCAGAGATGGGGTCTTGCTTTGTTGCCCAGGCTGGAGTGCAGTGACATGATCGTAGCTCACTGCACCCTCAACTTCTGGGCTCAAGTGATCCACCTCACCCTTCTGAGTAGCTGGGACTACAGGCTCACACCACCATGCCCTGCTAAATTTTTTTTTTTTTTTTTTTGAGACAGAGTCTTGCTCTGTCACACAGGCTGGTGCGATCTCAGCTCACTGCAACGTCCACCTCCCGTGTTCAAGTGATTCTTCTGCCTCAACCTCCCAAGTAACTGGGATTACAGGTGCCCGCCACCATGCCTGGCTAATTTTTCTATTTTTAGTAGAGACGAGGTTTTGCCATGTTAGCCAGGCAGATCTCGAACTCCTGACTTCAGGTGATCCACCCACCTCAGCCTCGCAAAGTGCTGGGAAAAAAAACCCTTTTTAAAAAAATTTATTCAGGGCCGGGCGTGGTGGCTCACGCCTGTAGTCCCAGCACTTTGGGAGGCCAAGGCAGGCAGATCACGAGGTCAGGAGACCGAGACCATCCTGACCAACATGGTGATACCCCGTCTCTACTAAAAATACAAAAATTAGCTGGGTGTGGTGGTGTGCACCTGTAGTCCCAGCTACTTGGAGGCTGAGGCAGGAGAATCGCTTGAACCCGGGAGGTGGATGTTGGCAGTGAGCTGAGGTTGTGCCACTGCACTATAGCCTGGGCAACAGAGCAATACTCTATCTTAACAACAACAAAAAAAACTTTATTCAGATTATCATCTGTTATTCTGAAGGCATTTATTGACCTTCAGCCTTAGATTTTTCTTTGAGACTTAACTGCTGTAGATCAGCAGTTCTCAAATTTTTTGGTCTCAGATCCACTTCTCCTCTTAAAAAATTACTGATTCCCATAAATATGTACCATTCTGTGTTAATTAGAAAAGTGAAATACAAGCCGGGTACGGTGGCTCACGTCTGTAATCCCAGCACTTTGGGAGGCTGATATTGGCAGATCCCTTAAGGTCAGGAGTTCAAGACCAGCCTAGGCAACATGGCAAAACACCATCTCTACTAAAAATACAAAAATTAGCTGGGCATGATGGCGCACACCTGTAAAATCCCAGCTGCTCAGGAGGCTGAGGCAGGAGAATTGCTTGAACCCGGGAGACGGGGGTTGCAGTGAGTGGAGATCGTGCCACTGCACTCCAGCCTGGCTGACAGAGTGAGACCCAGTCTGGGGGGAAAAAAGGTAAAATACAAAAAATACAAACTATTGAGAACCCCAAAGAGCTTTTAATTATATTGAGTATATCTAGTGATACTCTGTTAGAAATTAAAACTGAGAAGATGTAAATACTTATTTTTTATTTTCTCTTGAGACAGTATTGCTCTGTCGCCCAGGCTGGAGTGCAGTTCATGAACTGGACTCACTGCAGCCACCTCCTGGGTTAAAGCAATTCTGCCACCTCAGTCTCCGGAGTAGCTGGGATTACAGGCATGTGTTACCGTGCCCGGCTAATTTTTGTATTTTCAGTAGAGACGGCGTTTTGGCATGTTGGCCAGGCTGGTCTTGAACTCCCGGGCTTAAGTGATCTGCCTGCCTTATCCTCCCAAAGTGCTGGGATTACAGGCGTGAGCCGCTGCACCTGGCCCAAATTCATTTTAAAATAACAATAATAAACCCATTATATTTTAACATAAATATGTTTTTATGAAAAATGACTATTATCCATAACAAATTTTAGTGAAAAATATGGCATTGTTTTATATTTTTGTAAATCTTATTTAATGTCTGGCTTAATAGACAGCTGGATTCTTATATCCGTTTCTATATGCAGTCTGTGATATCACATATCATGGAGCCTCTGGAAAACACCATTGTGCCCTCTTGAGAGAGTAAGAGTGAAAAGAACAATTAAAATGGTTTGACCTTACATATCCTTCCTCAGATAGGGGATTCCTGGACCACATTTTGAGAATAGCTCCTCTAGACCGAACCAACTACCACCTGGGCATATTTTTTGTTTTGTGTGAATATTGAATACCTGTGTTTCTTAGAAATATGACTAAGAGGAAGATTTATAAGTGAGGGAGTTTTGTATAAAATTCCTTTTACAAGATAGCATTAAAAAATATCTATTTGTTTTTTAAGAAACTTGGAAAATCCCTAGTTGTTTTTAGGTACTTCTTTAGACAGGAGACTAAAACTTTTTATTTATTTATTTTTTTGAGACAGGTTGTTTGGGCTGGAGTGCAGTGGTACCCTCACAGCTCACTGCAACCTCGAACTCCTGGGCTCAAGGGATCCTTCCACTTCAGCCTCCTGAGTAGCTGGGACTACAGGCGTGTGCCACCATGCCTAACTAATTTTCAAAAATTTTCAGCAGAGACCAGGGTCTAGCTGTGTTGCCCAGACTGGTCTCAAATCCTGGCCTCTTAAAGTGCCGTGATTATAGGCGTGAGCCACTGCACCTAGCCTAAAACATTTTTTAAAACTTTCCAAGGCTTATGTGGTTCTCTTTGTATAGAGTATACTTCACTCGGTAAAGTTTGTTTACTCACCCCCTTCCTCTTCCATTTTATTCTGGATCTAGCTGAAGCTCCTTCAGGAAGTACCCCCTGACTACTTCCAACTCTTCATGACTTTGCCTTTTCTCTGTAACATTTATCGTTGGCCTTTGGATCCTGTCTTCTTATACCTTGTACTATTATTGCTATTTTTATTTTGATACAGTGTCTCTGTCACCCAAGCTGGAGTGCAGTAGCACCATCACAGCTCACAGCAACCTCAGCCTCCTGGGCTCAAACAATCCTCTCGCCTCAGCCTCCTACATAACTGGGACTGTAGGTGTGCACCACCACGCCTGGCTAATTTTTAAAAAATTTTTGTAGAGATGGAGTCTCACTCTGTTACCCAGGCTGGTCTTGAATTCCTGGGCTCAACCAGTCCTCCCACCTCAGCCTCCCAAGTGTTGGGATTACAGGCATGAGCCACCATGCCTGGCCATATCTTATATTATTCATCTCTTTTAATTTTGTCCTTTCTGTTAACTAGAGACTCCAGGGCAAGGGACTTTATCTGAAGTATTTTGTCCTCAGTATGCTGTAGACCTCAAAAACAAGTGTTTATGATTAATTAGATCTTTTAAATGCCTCAGGATACAGCTGCTGCACCTTCTCCCTCACGGTATATTCCACAACATGTTTTGTCTCTTTCCAAACACAAATTGTATTATCTGGTCCAAATTGGTAAACTGGATTTTTCATTTCCTTGGATGTAATTATATTGTATATTCAAATGATGTAATAGTCATCATTAAGTTAGAGTTATCTCCAGTATCTTATTTTCCTGCTGTTATATGCAGGTGGATCATGAGGTCAGGAGTTTTGAGACCAGCCTGGCCAACATGGTGAAACCCTGTCTCTACTAAAAATACGAAAACAAAATTAGCCGGGCGTGGTGGCATGAGCCTGTAATCCCAGCTACTCGGGAGGCTGAGGCAGAATTGCTTGAACCTGGGAGGCGGAGGTTGCAGTGAGCCAAGATTGCGCCACTGCACTCCAGCCTGGGCATCGAGAACAAGACTGTCTCAGAAAAAAAAAAAAAAAAAAAAAAATGTAGTGTACTAAAACTTAGAGTATCGTTGGATTATTGAATGTCTCAAGGGTTCAGCTAAGAACCTAAATATATTGTCTGTTTTTCCTTCAACTGAGAGGTCTCATGTTTTGTGTTTACACAGACATTTTAACACAATTCTATTATCTCTGCAGCTGTGGATTTCTTTAACCAGATCAACATGTTATATGGAACTATTACAGAATTCTGCACTGAAGCAAGCTGTCCAGTCATGTCTGCAGGTCCGAGGTACATATACTGCCTATCATATAGGTGTTTGGATTAGTTTTACTTTATCACCAGTTGGTATAAATTAAACAATTAAGATTTGTTATTCATTTGTTTGTTTGAAGGTGATTCAGTTTTATTGGTTCTTGACTACTTACCCATAAGCTTTTAGTTATTGTGTAATTTTTAAATTTTATTTATTTTGAGACAGAGTCTCGCTCTGTTACAAGGCTGGATTGCAGTGGTGTGATCTTGGCTTACTACAACCTCTGCCTTCCAAGTTCAAGCGATTCTCATGCCTCAGCCTCCCAAGTGGCTGGGATTACAGGCGTGCGCCACCACTCCCATCTAATTTGTGCATTTTTAGTAGAGATAGGGTTTCACCATGTTCCCCAGGGCTGGTCTCAAACTCCTGGCCTCAAGTGATCTGCCTACCTCGGCCTCACAAACTGCTGGGATTAAAGGTGTGAGCCACTGCACCTGGCCAGCTATTAGTTATTATTAAATACTTTGGTATGTGGGTACTCCCTGTTTTCATTTTTATGTTTCATCATAGTTTCATCATAGTAAGTCTGAATGTTTTGTTATAGAAGTAAACAGAAATTTGAGTTATGTTTGTCTTGAATTGCAAACATTTTATTTTTTCAATTTTATTAATAACATGTTTCCTGTTTCTAGTTTTTAAATGAATTTCTTGAAAGAGTTTTTAGTTGATCTTTTAATATTTGATTATTTTTTCTGGTGCTTATTTAGTATTTAAAGCAGCACAATTTTGAAGTAATTATCTGGCTTGAAGATGCTAGATTTAAAAATGTTTTGACTTTAATAAATTTCAAGAAATACTGAAAAGATGGAACTCTATCAGTCATAATATTAAGTCCATCATATGATGGGATTTATATTTGCTGTGTTTTCTTCCAGTTTTTTTTTTTCTTATAATAAATGACTGATTTTATGGATGATAGATGTTATCAAGATGTTTGCCTTTTGAAAAAGATTGTCCTTTCTGACTTTGCTACAAGTGTAAAGGAAAAAAGATCCCTAATGAGTTTGTAGTCCTATTTTTATTACAATATTTTAGGAAGAATGTTTTTATTTTATATTGTGTTAAGTTATATTCCTCAAGCTTTAAAAGAAATTAAAATAAACAGGAAAATTAAACTTACCTCTGGCTCAAATGCTTTACACAGTGATGTTTTGTATAACTCTTGTTAATCCTTCTAGCTCAGCAATGGTAAGGGGGGAAGTATGCATGCCTAATGTGTATCTCTAACACCTGGCCCACAAAACAGAGTTTTATAATATTGGCTCCATTGATGATAAATTGATGAACAAGAATCTCAGAAGAATGTAATGGATCCATCGGCTCCATACCCAGCCCTCAGCAACCTTCTGCCTTACAGGAATGCAGTTCCTTCCTGTTTCCCAGGGCTGTGTTGTTAATAAAACATCTATCCTGGCATTGCCTCCTGCCACATTATCTCCCTTTTTTCTTCCAGTTATAACTGTCACTTTCAGGATAATTCTATAGAGGACTTGTAGTAATCTTCAGTAGAACTTAAGGTGATTTATTAAAGTTAGATATAACTTCTATTGACAAAACGTGAATGAACCTGTTTTAATTACAACTTGCACATTTGTTAATATTTTTGAAAAATCAGTAAAACATTTTTCTCTCCAGATATGAATATCATTGGGCAGATGGTACTAATATTAAAAAGCCAATCAAATGTTCTGCACCAAAATACATTGACTATTTGATGACTTGGGTTCAGGATCAGCTTGATGATGAAACTCTTTTTCCTTCTAAGATTGGTGAGTTAACATTGTGGAAATATTCTTTCTTTTTTTTAAATTTCATTTTATTAATATAGAGATGAGGGGTTTTTGCTGTGTTGTCCAGGTTGGTCTCAAACTCCTGGCCTCAAGTGATCCTCCTGACTTGGCCTCCCACAGTGCTGGGATTACAGGCTTGAGCCTCCGTATCCAGCCTGTTTCTCTTTTTGAATGATAAATCTGTTCTTTTTAACATTGTTATACTCGTAGAGACTGCCAAATTCTCCTCCAAAAAGTTTGTACCAACATATACTCCCCCCAGCCATGTTTGTGTTTGCCTGTATTTCTTTACCAACACTGGTTATTACTCATTTTTTAATCTTTTCTAATTTGGTTAAATTTCTGTTTTAATGTACATTTAAAAAGTGTTGATGAAATTGAGCATTTTAGATTTTTGTTTGTTTCATTGATCATTGTGTATTTTCTGTTTATATCTTTCATCTATTTCTGTGTAAAGGATATCAGCGCTTTGTCATACATGTTGTATATGTTTTTCCCCAGGTTACCTTTTGTCTCATTTTGTTCATGGAGCATTTTTGCTATACACAACCTTATTATTTTGTCCTATTATATCTTTTATGACTTGGTTTTAATATAACAGTTAGAAAGCTTTTCCGGCCGGGCGCGGTGGCTCAAGCCTGTAATCCCAGCACTTTGGGAGGCCGAGACGGGCGGATCACGAGGTCAGGAGATCGAGACCATCCTGGCTAACACGGTGAAACCCCGTCTCTACTAAAAAATACAAAAAAACTAGCCGGGCGAGGTGGTGGGCGCCTGTAGTCCCGGCTACTCGGGAGGCTGAGGCAGGAGAATGGCGTAAACCTGGGAGGCGGAGCTTGCAATGAGCTGAGATCCAGCCACTGCACTCCAGCCTGGGCGATGGAGCGAGACTCCGTCTCAAAAAAAAAAATAAATAAATAAAAGAAAGCTTTTCCCTGCTTCAAGATTATAAAAGTATTTCTTCATGTTTTCTTTTTTTTTAATTTTTTTTTTTTTTTTTTGAGACGGAGTCTCGCTGTGTCGCCCAGGCTGGAGTGCAGTGGCCGGATCTCAGCTCACTGCAAGCTCTGCCTCCCGGGTTTTTACGCCATTCTCCTGCCTCAGCCTCCCGAGTAGCCGGGACTACAGGCGCCCGCCACCTCGCCCGGCTAGTTTTTTGTATTTTTTAGTAGAGACGGGGTTTCACCGTGTTAGCCAGGATGGTCTTGAACTCCTGACCTCGTGATCCGCCCGTCTCGGCCTCCCAAAGTGCTGGGATTACAGGCTTGAGCCACGCGCCCGGCCTTTTTTTAATTTTTTGATACAGAGTCTCTGTTGCCCAGACTGGAGTGCAGCGATGCAGTCTTGGCTCACTGCAGTCTCCACCTCCCAGGTTCAAGCAATTCTCATGCCTCAGTCCCTGGGTAGCTGGGACTATAGGCACATGCCACCATGCCTGGCTAATTTTTGTATTTTTAGTAGAGATGGGGTTTCACCATGTTGGCCAGGCTGGTCTTGAACTCCTGACCTCAAGTGACCTACCTGCTTTGGCCTCCCAAAGTATTGGGATTATAGGCGTGAGCCACCATGCCTGGCCAGGCAGGTTTTTTTCCCTGAATGCTACATTAATTTGTTTCCAAATGGAAATACTAGTCAGTTTGTCCCATTACCATTTATTAAACACATTTGCCTTTTCTCCCGATTATCTGAATGCGCACAACAAATTGCCATATATTTTTGCGTGTTTTAGTCTCTTTATCTGCTTCTATAGAAATTCCACACATTAGTGGCTGTGGCCCTGCATCTGTTAGCATCTTGTAAGGCTGGTCTCCCTTCCTTGCTCTTTTTCAGAATATTCACAGCTATTCTGGGATATTTGTTTTTCCAAAGAACTTAGAAACATTTTGTCAAGGTAAAAAAAAATTAGGTTTTAATTATGACTATATTTAATTTTTATAGATAGGGATTCTTTTTTTCTTTACTGAATCTTCCTAGCCAAGAACAAGATATTGTTCATTCATGTCTTTAGCTTTATTTTCTCTTGTAAAATTCTGTAGTTTATGTCAGTTGTTCAAGTTTTAATTTTATTCTAGGGATTTTATGTCTTTTATTGATAACATAGTTTCCAGCTGGTTATTTAGTATATAGGAAAGCTGTTGGTTTTTACTTTTTAATTAAAAAAAAATTTTTTTTGAGACAGGGTGTCACTGTGTTCCCCAGGCTGAAGTACAGGGGTGTGATCACAGCTCACTGCAGCTTTGACTTCCTGGGCTCCAGTGATCCTCCCACCTTAGCTTCCCAAGTAGCTGGGACTGTAGGCATGCACCACTACACCTGGCTAATTTTGTTTGTGTTTTGTAGAGATGAGGTCTCGTTATGTTTCCCAGACTGGTCTCAGACTCCTGGGCTTAAGCAGCCCTCCTTCCTCAGCCTTCCAAAAGTGTTGGAATTACAGGTGTCAGCCACCAGCACTGGCCCAGCTGTTGATTTTTATTTAAATTTTATAATTAACCATCAGACTCTCTTTCTGTTAGTTTTTGGTTGGTTCTCTTGAATTTTTAAAGTATACACTGTGTCATGTTAAGATAGTGTTCATTTTGCCTCTTCCTTCCTGATAATATATTCTTGTTTTACGCTTATCTGATTGCACTGAGTGGTATTTCAAGCGCAAAGCTGAGTGGTGGTGATGATGGCAGACATCCGTTTCTTGCTTTCTTACTATTATGCAAGTACCTCTAGTATTTCTGCAGTAAGCAGAAATCTTGGCTTTTGGTTAGAGGTGTGTGGATTTTAAAAAAATTATATTAATGAAAAATATCTACCATTTACATTACAAAAGTTTTTTTAAACGAGGAATGGCTATAGCGTTTATCAGATACTTTTCCAGTATCTGTTGCCTGTGACCCCAAGGTTTTCTCTATTTTTTAATAAAAATGTTCTGCTGGAAGAGTCTTTCTTATTTGTTAATATTTGAGTTTGGCATCAGTGTTCATGGATGAAATCAATCCTTGTCATTTTTAACTTAAGATTATTTTATAAGCAACATATTTTTGAATTCCTTTTTGCAGTCTTTCTTATAGAGGCTTTTCAGGATGAAAATTTTTTTCCAGGTTATTGCATTTGATTTGTTTGTTATTGGTCAGTTTTTCCATTCTGCTATTAAACCTTTTATTTCCTTTCTCACATATCTTTACTTTATATTGACTGTGCTTGAATATATCTGTTAAATTTAGCTTGGAAAGTGTTTAGATTTAAACAAATTACTTATTTCTTTACTCATTAAAGATTAAAGTCTCTGCTTATGGAAGGTAAGTAATTCTTTTTATTTATCCTCTTTTTCTCTTTTTTTTTTTTTTTTTTTTTGGAGACAGGGTCTCACTCTGTCACCTAGGCTGGAGGGCAATGGCACAGTCTTGGCTCACTGCAACCTCCGCTTCCTGGGTTCAAGCGATTCTCGTGCCTTAGCCTCCGAGTAGCTGGGACTACAGGCGCCCACCACCACACCTGGCTAGTTTTTGTAGTTTTTGGTAGAGACAGGGTTTCACCATGTTGGCCAGGCTGGTCTTGAACTCCCGACCTCAAGTGATTAACCCACCTTGGCCTCCCAAAGTGCTGGAATTACAGGCACGAGCCACCACGCCTAGCTTTTTTCTCATTTTCCTATTCTTAAATAATTCATTCTGATCTACCACCTCTCACCCCCACTGCCCTGCCATTAGGCTATTATCTGCATCTTACTTTTGCCAGTTATTTAGTCTCAGACAGAACTGTTTATAATTAATTTTTTACTAATATATGTATCCTTTTATTAGATGCCCGTTTATACATTCTGATAAAAAAGATGTTTGATTTTGAAATCTGGTTGTTTTTTTTTTTTCTTGAGACAGAGTCTCCCTCTGTTGCCCAGGCTAGACTGCAGTGGTGCAATTACAGCTCACTGCAGCCTCGACCTCCCAGGCTCAAGTGGTCCTCCTATATCAGCCACTTGAGTAGCTGAGACCACAGGCATGTGTACAATCACTCCCAGCTAATTTTTTAAATTTTGTAGACACGAGGCCTCACTATGTTGCCCAGGCTGGTCTCAAACTTCTAGGCCCAAGCAACCTTTCTGCTTCAGTCTTCCAAAGAGCTTGAGATTACAGGCATGAGCCACTGCACCTGGCCAGAAATCTGCTTCTTCTTTTCTTTTTTTTTTTTTTTTTTTGAGACGGAGTCTTGCCCTGTCGCCCAGGCTGGAGTGCAGTGGCCGGATCTTAGCTCACTGCAAGCTCCGCTTCCCGGGTTTACGCCATTCTGCCTCAGCCTCCCGAGTAGCTGGGACTACAGGTGCCCGCCACCGCGCCCGGCTAGTTTTTTTGTATTTTTTAGTAGAGACGGGGTTTCACCATGTTAGCCAGGATGGTCTCAATCTCCTGACCTCGTGATCCGCCCGTCTCGGCCTCCCAAAATGCCAGGATTACAGGCTTGAGCCACCGCGCCCGGCCTGCTGCTTCTTTTCTTTAACTTTCTTTTTTTTTTTTTGAAGCAGAGTCTTGCTCTGTTGCCCAGGCTGGAGGGCAGTTGCGCGATCTCAGTTCACTGCAAGCTCTGCCTTCTGGGTTCACACCATTCTCCTGCCTCAGCCTCCCGAGTAGTTGAGACTACAGGCGACCACCACCACGCCCAGCTAATTTTTTGTATTTTTAGTAGAGACAGGGTTTCACCATGTTAGCCAGGATGGTCTCTATCTCCTGATCTCATGATCCGCCCACCTCAGCCTCCCAAAGTGCTGGGATTACAGGTGTGAGCCACCGTGCCCGGCCAGAAATCTGCTTTTTCAATACATGAATACAAGATCCTGCCCAGGAAAACATGCCTATAAGCTCCAGGATAATGTCTGAAAAGTCAAGTTAATGAGGACTGGGGTGGTGGTGGGGAATGACCACAAACAGCAAAATATACCGAGTTTCAGGTTATTGAGAACTGGGTGGGAAAAAATGCAAGGAAAGAGTGTTTTAAGCCTTCGTTTTCTGAAAGGTTGAAAAAAGAACATGTTTCAAGAGTAGTCTTGTGGAACAGACCTTTAAGGCCAACTAATTTAGGTTATTTTTTTATTTTTATTTTTTGAGATGGAGTCTCACTCTGTCGCCCAGGCTGGAGTGCAGTGGTGGTGATCTTGGCTCGCTGCAACCTCCGCCTCCTGGGTTCAAGTGATTCTTCTGTCTCAGCTATCTGAGTAGCTGGGATTACAGGCCTTAGCCACCACGCCCGGCTAATTTTTGTATTTTTAGTAGGGACAGGGTTTCACCATGTTGGTCAGGCTGGTCTCGCACTCCTGACCTACCTGACCCTGTTTTCTGATGGACTTTGATGTTGTCAGCCAGAATTCTCAGGAATGTAACCAGTTGGATCCCCATCTCCACTGCTTGGAAAGATACCAAACCCACCCCAGCTGTTTTCTAAAAAGGTGCTTATTTTCTTTTTTTCTGAGACAGAATCTTGCTGTGTTGCCCAGGCTGGAGTGCAGTGGCATGATCTCGGCTCACTGCAACCTCTGCCTTCCGGGTTCAAGCAGTTCTCTGTCTCAGCCTACTGAGTAGCTGGGATTACAGTTGCCCGCCACCACTAACGGCTAATTTTTGTATTTTTAGTAGAGATGGGGTTTCACCATGTTGGCCAGGCTGGTCTCTTTGGCCAGGCTGGTCTCGACCTCCTGACTTCGTGATCCACCCGCCTTGGCCTCCCAAAGTGCTAGGACTACAGGCGTGAGCCACTGTGCCCGGCTGCCTTTTTATTTTGCTTAGGAGAGTTTCCAGTCTTCATTGAGAGAGTGTGTATGTATGTAATTTCTTCTTCTTTTTTTCCTAAGGGACGAGGTTTTACCGTGTTGCTCAGGCTTATCTTGAACTCATGAACTCAGGCAGTCTGCCCACTTCAGCTTCTCAACATGCTAGGATTACAAGCATGAGCCACCATGCCAAGCCAGTGTAATTGCTTTAGAGTTACAAATTACAAAGTAAAAATATTTATAATAAAAATACTTAACTCTTATTGCATTTAATTTCAGAAAGAAACTCTGAATTAAAGATTTAGTTCTTTAATATTATTAAAGAACTAAATCTCAGTACTTTGGGAGGCCAAGACAGGCGGATCACTTGAGGCCAGGAATTCGAGATCAGGCTGGCCAACATGGCAAAAACCCATCTCTACTAAAAATACAAAAATCAGCCAGGTGTAGTAGTGCACACCTGTAGTCCCAGCTACTTGGGAGGCTGAGGTGGGAGGATTGCTTGAGCCTGGGAGGTGGAGGTTGCAATGAACCATGATTGTGCTACTGAACTCCAGCCTGGATGACAGAGTGAGACTCAGTCTCAAAAACACAAAAACAAAACAAAACCAACTAAAACTGCAGGATTTTTGAACTTTGATTCAGCAGCATCTTACATAATTTGATACCTGTGCCTAAGGCAGTCAGAAAAAAGTGGGTACTTTGTGAGGATTTGGGTTTGGGTTTTCACTTCCTTGGCTTTAAAAAATATATACAGGCCGGGCGCGGTGGCTCAAGCCTGTAATCCCAGCGCTTTGGGAGGCCGAGACAGGCGGATCATGAGGTCAGGAAATTGAGACCATCCTGGCTAACACGGTGAAACCCCGTCTCTACTGAAAAAAAATACAAAAAAACTAGCCGGGCGTGGTGGCGGGCGCCTGTAGTCCCAGGTACTCAGGAGGCTGAGGCAGGAGAATGGTGTAAACCCGGGAGGCGGAGCCTGCAGTGAGCTGAGATCCGGCCGCTGCACTCCAGCCTGGGCGACAGAGCGAGACTCCGTCTCAAAAAAAAATAAATAAATAAAAATAAAAATAAAAAATATATACGGAGGTAGGTTCATGTGTATTTATGAATGTGTGTGTTTATGTGTTGCAGGTGCTCATGGCAGTGTGTAAACTTTCTGCCGTTAGGCTGGGCATGCCTGTAATCCTAGCACTTTAAGAGTCTGAGGCAGGCAGATTGCTTGAGCTCAGGAGTTCAAGACCAGCCTGGGCAACATGGCGAAACCCCATCTCTACAAAAAATACAAAAAATTAGCTGGGTGTGGTGGCGTGTACCTGTAGTTCAGGTTGCTTGGGGGGCCAAGGTGGGAGGATCACTTGAGCCCAGGAGGTCGAGGCTGCAGTGAGCTGAGATTGCACCACTGCACTCCAGCCTGAGTGACAAAGTGAGACCCTGTCACAAACAACTTTCTACTGTTAAATTAGATAACAGACTAATTGTTTCATACGTGTATTTAATTGCAGGTGTCCCATTTCCCAAAAACTTTATGTCTGTGGCAAAGACTATTCTAAAGCGTCTGTTCAGGGTTTATGCCCATATTTATCACCAGCACTTTGATTCTGTGATGCAGCTGCAAGAGGAGGCCCACCTCAACACCTCCTTTAAGCACTTTATTTTCTTTGTTCAGGTAAGTTGATCCATGTCAATTTCTGTGTCTTGTGACTTGGACTTATTTGGATTGGGAACTTCAACAAAGAGCAGTGTGTCCTATTTGTAGATGTAGAGCCAATTATAGGCAAGCTTCTCTTTTCTGTTTTGTTCTCTTTTCCGTTTTGTTCTCTTTTCCACATTGTTTATTTTATTGATGTATGCAGCAGTATAAAAAGGTATCACCCCCATTTGGGCCTTCTGCCTCTGGCCTCCCTAGGTCTGTGGTTAGGATTATCCATTCAGGGTTGTGGCCTGTTGCTTTATGGACCCTTAGTCAGAATTGGAACCTTTTTTTTTTTTTTTTTTTTTTGAGACAGAGTTTCACTCTGTGGCCCAGGCTAGAATGCAGTGGCATGATCTCGGCTCACTGCAACCTCCGCCTCCTGGGTTCAAGTGATTCTCCTGCCTCAGCCTCCCGAATAGCTGTGATTACAGGTGTCCACCACTACCCCCAACTAATTTTTGTATTTTTAGTAGAGACGGGATTTCCCATGTTGGCCAGGCTGGTCTCGAACTTCTGACCTCAGGTGATCCACCCTCCTCAGCCTCCCAAAGTGCTGGAATTACAGGCCTGAGCCACAGCACCTGGCCAGAATTTGAACTTTAAAAAATCAAAATAATTCACATTATTTGAAAAAGATATCAAAGAATTGATATGCCTTTAGCCTAACTTTAGAGATACATACACTTTTGCATATTGAGTTACATACACATGTCTGTCTAGATATTTTATGAAAAAACCTGGTAGCTTTATAGTAGATATTGTGTATTATAGTTCTGTGTACTGTACCATGCTCTTCCTGATCTTCCTTCTCAGATTGTTGCATAAAAGGTCTACTGCTCCTTTATCAGAAATTCAGTTTGTAGTTTTCAGGTAGTTTTTGTTTTTTGTTTTTTTTTTTTTTTTTGAGACAGAGTCTCGCTCTGTCGCCCAGACTGGAGTACGGTAGCACTATCTCGGCTAACTGCAACCTTTGCCTCCTGGGTTCAAGCAGTTCTCCTGCCTCAGCCTCCTAAGTAGCTTGGATTAGAGGCGCCTGCCACCACGCCCGACTAATTTTTCTATTTTTACTAGAGATGAGGTTTCACCATGTTGGCCGGGCTGGTCTCGAACTCCTGACCTCAAGTGATCTCACCCACCTCATCCTCCCAAAGTGCTGGGATTACAGGCATGAGCCACCACACCCAGCCTCTTTCAAGTAATTTTTATGTAAATTTAAATATGTATACAGTTTTGATTTCAATGTTTAACACAGTGAGGATCATACTGATACCTAGAGTTGCTTCTTTAATAAGCCTCCCATTGTAAGAATATAGGAAAAAACAAACTCGCTTTTTCCTACTATACTCTCACCACACAGAATGCTTCTGTGACCAAACATGGGGACTGTCTCTCACACACCAAGCAAGTGATCATTTCTACAGTGGACACCAGATGAATGTCCTATAATACGATTCAATTCTGATAATGTCTATCTGGAGGTAGCATCAGATCCTACAAGTTTGAGAGCTCAGTCCCACAAGACTGCCTCCCAACCTGGGATATCAGTCAAAAGTAATACATTGTCAACTATACCTCTGACTATAAACCAGGGTTCCCACAACCCCGTCCTTGGGTTTGATTAGCTTGCTAGAGCAGCTTATAGAACTCAGGGAAATACTTATCTCTACCCATTTATTATGAAAGATGCTAACAAAAGATACAGATGAACAGCTAGATGGAAGAGATGTGTAGGGCCAGAGGAGAAGGGGCTTCCATACTCTCTCCAGGCATGCCATGCTCCAGGAACCTCCATGTGTTCAGCTATCCGGAAGCTCTCCTGAGCCCTGTTTTTTTGTGTTTTTATGGAGGCTTCATTACTTGCCCATGATTGATTAAATAATTGGCCATTGATGATCAACTCAACCTTCAGCCAGCCCTTTCCCCTCCCCGGAGGTTGTGATCTGGAAAGGGCAGAGGGCTGGCTGAAGGTTGACCAGTTCCCATTCTGAAGCTTTATAGGAGCCTCCAGCCACCAGTCATCTCATTAGCACACAAGATAATCTTAGCACTCTGGTGATTCCGACAAGGGTTTTGGGAGCTGTGCGTCAAGAAACGGAGGAAGACCAATACTTACATCACAATATCATAACTATATTTTTATTTATTTATTTATTTTTTGAGATGGAGTCTCGCTCTGTCACCCAGGCTGGAGTGCAGTGGCTGGATCTCAGCTCACTGCAAGCTCCGCCTCCCGGGTTTACACCATTCTGCCTTAGCCTCCTGAGTAGCTGGGACCACAGGCGCCCGCCACCATGCCCGGCTAGTTTTTTTTTTTTTTTTTTTAGTCGAGACGGGGTTTCACAGTGTTAGCCAGGATGGTCTTGATCTCTGACCTCGTGATCCGCCCGTCTCGGCCTCCCAAAGTACTGGGATTACAGGCGTGAGCCACCACGCCCAGCCCATAACTATATTTTTAAAAAGAGAGGGCTGGGCGTGGTGGCTCACCCCTGTAATCCTAGCACTTTGGGATTTGGGATGCCAAGGTGGGCGGATCACTTGAGGCCAAAGTTCAATACCAGCCTTGGCAACATAGACCACATCTGTACAAAAAAGAGAAAAAAAAAAAGGAAAAGAAAAAGAGAATAAATGCCCATTTTAAAATGTTCACAGAGGTTATTTCATCATTTTTTTTTTTTTTTTTTTTTTTTTGAGACGGAGTCTCGCTCTGTCACCCAGGCTGGAGTGCAGTGGCCGGATTTCAGCTCACTGCAAGCTCCGCCTCCCGGGTTCACGCCATTCTCCTGCCTCAGCCTCCGGAGTAGCTGGGACTACAGGCGCCCGCCACCTCGCCCGGCTAGTTTTTTGTATTTTTTAGTAGAGACGGGGTTTCACCGGGTTAGCCAGGATGGTCTCGATCTCCTGACCTTGTGATCCGCCCGTCTCGGCCTCCCAAAGTGCTGGGATTACAGGCTTGAGCCACCGCGCCCGGCCTCATCATTCTTTTGGACTTCAGAAAACTAGAGTTGGGAATTCCTTCTCCAAAAGACATTTACAGAGTTTCAGTTTTAGATCCATTTTTAATTGTTATTTTTCTTCTCTTTTTAGGAGTTTAATCTGATTGATAGGCGTGAGCTGGCACCTCTTCAAGAATTAATAGAGAAACTTGGATCAAAAGACAGATAAATGTTTCTTCTAGAACACAGTTACCCTCTTGCTTCATCTATTGCTAGAACTATCTCATTGCTATCTGTTATAGACTAGTGATATAGACGTTAAGAAAACAGGATAAAAAGATACCCATTGTCTGTGTCTACTGATAAGATTATCCCAAAGGTAGGTTGGCGTGATAGTTTCCGAGTAAGACCTTAAGGACACAGCCAAATCTTAAGTACTGTGTGACCACTCCTGTTATTATCACAGTCATACTTGGTTGTAATATGTGATGGTTAACCTGTAGCTTATAAATTTACTTCTTATTCTTTTACTTGTTTACTCAGTCATTTCTTTACAAGAAAATGATTGAATCTGTTTCAGGTGACAGCATAATGGACATGAAGAATTTCCATCAATAATTTATGAATGAGTTTCCAGAACAAATTTCTTAATAACATAATCAGATTGGTTTTATTCTTTTATTTTACAAATAAAAAATGTATTTTTCAGTATCCTTGAGATTTAGAACATCTGTGTCACTTCAGATAACATTTTAGTTACAAGTTTGTATGGTAGTGTTTTTATAGGTAAGATACGTATATTTTTTCAAAATTCATGATTGCAGTTTAAATCATATGACATGTGTGGGTGGGAGCAACCAAAGTTATTTTTACAGGGACTTTATTTTTTGATCTTTATTTGAGATTGTTTTCATATCTATCTAAATTATTAGGAGTGTGTGTATCAGAAGTAATTTTTTAATGTCTTCTAAGGATAGACCAGGCTTTTAGTCTAAAAAGCTTTATTCAGATAGTAGCTTTTGGCTGAGAAAAGGAATCCAAAATATTACAAGAAATTTAGGTCTCAAAACCACTATTTTTATTATTTCATTATTTTTCAGAGGCCTTGAAATTCTGGATAAGAGAATGGAGAAAAATACTCAGAGTACTTGATTATTTTATTTCATTTTATTAAAAAATTACTTCTATGTTTTTATTGTCTTGAGCCTTAGTTAAGAGTAGTGTAGAAATGCATGAACTTCATCCTAATAAGGATAAAACTTAAGGAAAACCACAATAAACCATGAAGGTATATACATCTTATAACACAGAAAGTTTTGGTGTGCTACCTATTCTTGAGAGAGTGAGTGAGTGTATGTGTTTAAAGGAAACAAAATGGGAGAAATAAGTTTTAAAAAAATCCTCATTCTGTTAATATTCAAAAGATGGACTGAGCTCCCACTTGGTTTTTATCTTGTTTTAATTGTTTTTGTATCAAAACTTGAAATTCCTCTATTTCTATTGGGATATAAAAACCTTCCCCTTTAGTGAAGAAAACGTTTATTTTTTATTTGGTTCCTAGAATTTAGTAAACTCTAGCTGTCTATTTAAAATGTACTGAAGCACAAGTATTATACTGGAAGACTTGCCAAACTGGCAAAGCTTTAAGTTCATCAGCATTCTATGTGGTTCAGAGCTGTGATTTTTGCAAAGTATTTTACCAACCTCCTTGATGGCTTTGATAAAGATTAGATTTGATGTTTTTTTTTTTAATTTATTTTTCTTACTCCACTAAACTATAAAGAAAATACTTACTTAGAAACTCCATTTTAAATAATCATTTTCTAGACATTCTTAAAGGTATACAGAATTTTAAAGAAAACATTTAATCTGATTTAGGTAGCATCCATATATCATTGAGGAATTAAAGTATGGGACAGTCATTATGAAAAAAAAAAAAAAAGAAAAGCCCTCTATTAGACATTCTACAATCCATGTTTTAAGCTTATCCAAAGGTGCAAATGTCAGCCATTCTGTATGTTCATGTTGATCATTTGTGAACAAGAGAGCAGGTTTCTAGATGTCACTTAGGATGTGAACTGCCTCTCGACTTTAAACCCTGTTGGCTTTACTTTTTTAAGTCCACAAGTGATGAAACTAGTTTCTCAGGTAGGCTTGTACTTTACTCATTATTTCTAGTATTTCAAATATTCTCAAACAAAAGAGTTATCACTTTTCTCCATTTATTTTCAGTCTTATGGAAATGTTCCCTCTCTTCACCACTAAGCTCTAAAGCAAATGAAAGACGATCACATGTCAGGACAGTAGTAAAGGCAGCTTATAAATGGGACATAAATCAGAGATGTGTTGGTATTTTGAGACTCAGACTGTCTTTTTTTAAAATAAAAACAAAAACATTACCAGGTTCCCAAGCCAATCTGGCTTAACCAACAGTGTACCAAAATATTAGTGTTTACCTCCAAGGCTAGGGAGCCAAGGGGAGGAGGAGAATTGGAGGAAGGGGAGATAATGGGAAGAGGATGGTGCCTTCCGGAGTTGGCTAGAGGGCCAACCTTTGATAACAGTTTGACGAAATCAGTTTTTTTGTTTGTTTTTTTGTTTTTTGAGACAGAGTCTCACTGTGTCACCCAGGCTGGAGTGCAGTGCCAGGATCTCAGCTTCCTCCAAGCTCCGCCTCCCGGGTTCACACCATTCTCCTGCCCCAGCTTCCCTAGTAGCTGGAACTACAGGTGCCCGCCACCATGCCCAGCTAATTTTTTGTATTTTTAGTCAAGCCCAGCTAATTTTTTGTATTTTTAGTAGAGATGGGGTTTTACCGTGTTAGCCAGGATGGTCTCCATCTCCTGACCTTGCAATCCACCCGCCTCAGCCTCCCAAAGTTCTGGGATTACAGGTGTCAGCCACCGTGCCAGGCCTATAGAAATCAATCTTTTTGACTCTTCTTACTTTTATCTCCCCACGTCCAAGGTTTGCCTGTTCCGTAACACTCACTCCCTTCCCCCTTGCTAATCAGAAGCCATCTCCTCTCAGTGTCTGATCTCTGCTCTTCATACATGATTACAGTTACGGGGTGGAGAGTGCTTGCTAAATTATGCAGTTAATCCTATGGTGCTTTAATTTTCAGGCCTTCAAAAAACACTTGGACAGTGATGTGCAGATTTTTAAACAGTTGAACTTCCTTGTACTACAGTTTTTGTATTAACAGCCAAATTTGTCTTTCATTCTTCAGATTGTGAATAAAGTGATTTTTACAGGGCTTCCAGCAAAGTATTTCCTTTCATCTAAGGCTTATAGAACCCTAGCTCATATAGCTGCTTACATGAGAAATGCGAAATCTGTATTCACCATGACTTTAGTAACAAAGGTAAAGTTTTTTAGTAGTGCCAAGGCAAGAGGAACAATCTTGGTGGTAATACTAAGTTTTGTCAATATTGTGGTTTCCTGATTGTATTGTTGGCTTTCTCTCTGAGCATTGAGGTTATACTAGAAGTAGAGCTGCTCAAACATAATATCATTACCTCATAAGCATTAACAAATCAGGCCCAAAGAGTATAAGTCCTAGAAATTTGTTTTTAAGCAGCCCTAGTCATGGTGCTGGTGCTACTGCCTTGTTTTAGGAGCCTGCCTCCTGTCAGTATGAAACCCTCACCTGAAAAATGACAACCTGGACACCAAACACTGAGCACCTTCAACAGGCACATTATTTTCCCCGGGATCAGTAAGGGGATTTGGTTTCTACTATTGTAGAATTCTGAAAAGAGGTAAAGTAGTAGTCCTTTAGTCATCCTATTTTTGCTTTCAATTTTGATATTTCAGACTGTAAAAGGCCTTGGGGGATGATAGTACATGTGGTAGCAGTAATTTTTTTTGAAGCAACTGCACTGACATTCATTTGGGTTTTCTCTCATTATCAGATTCTATTCCAAACAAGTATTCTGTAGATCCAAATGGATTACCAGTGTGCTATAGACTTCTTATTATAGAACAGCATTCTATTCTACATCAAAAATAGTTTGTGTAAGTTAGTTTTGGTTACCACCTAAAATATTTTTAAATGTTCTTTACATAAAAATTTATGTTGTGTTTTAAAATCCTTAGGGGCTTTATCTATTTTTCTAAGTCAGTTAACTGTACTTTTAAAAAAAGTATTTTGTATCTACTTTTGTAACTTCGTCAGAATAAAATATATTGAAAGCAAGAAATGACTGATTAAAGTATGTATATCAACACACACTTCTATTTAAATATAGAAACTTGAGAGTTTTGCAGGTTCTGTGGATTTTTGAGTACAGCTTAAATTTGGAAAGTTATCTTTGCATATTATTTAGTAGCTAACATGTTTTCTTAGCCCTTAAAAAAGGAAGTTCCTAAATGAACTAAGTATCATACTACTAGGACCCAACCCCTAAGAAACAAACTATTCCTCTGATAGTGGCTAAAACCCATCCCAAACAAAAATACGTGGTCTCCTTCCTGCCATGTGAATCAGGCTCCAGATCTCTTGTACATTCCTGGTTGTGACATAGTAGAGTTAAAATTAAAAACTTAATGAATGTGGCTAAATAGTACAAGTTAACACTGATTTTATTTTTTTGAGATCGGGTCTCTGTTGCCCAGGTTGGAGTGCAGTGGCACAATCTTGGCTCACTGCAACCTCCACCTTCTAGGTTCAAGTGATCCTCCTGTCTCAGCCTCCCAAGTAGCTGGGAAAACAGGCACGAACCATCATGCCCGGCTAATTTTTTATAATTTTTGTAAAGATGGGGTTTTGCCATATTGCCTAGGCTGGTCTCGAACTCCTGAGTTCAAGTAAGCTGCCTGCCCTGGCCCCAAAGTGCTGGGATTACAGGCATGAGCCACCACACCTGGCCTAGTTAATACTAATTTTGTATAAGCTATGGGTAAACTAGCAGTTTTGGATTTCTTTTGACATTTTCAGTAGGCTTAAAATCATCACAAAAATGGTAAGTTTGTAAGGGTATCTAATGGCTGTTTCAAACTTTTTTATTTTATTTTATTTTATTTTTTATTATTTTTTTTTTTTTGAGACGGAGTCTCGCTCTGTCGCCCAGGCTGGAGTGCAGTGGCGCGATCTCGGCTCACTGCAAGCTCCGCCTCCCGGGTTCACGCCATTCTCCTGCCTCAGCCTCCCGAGTAGCTGGGACTACAGGCGCCCACAACCGCGCCCGGCTATCAAACTTTATAAAATAATAGAATAACTCAGATAATCTTTGGGAGAGCCAGACTCTGGGTTTGAACCTGCACAGTCAGAAACAATGTCCAAACTATGCCATGGAGCATCTCTGACAAATACCCCATTGATGTCCCCACTAGGTTTGGACATTACAGCCTGCACTATCCCTACTTAGGTGCAGACACTATCCTGCACCATTATCACTGGCCACTAGATGCCAGTCTCTGCCACAGCACCTCAAAAGCTAGCTACCTTTTTAGCTTTTTACTGGAGTCCTTTAGTAGGTTATCTCATTTAATTCATAAAGCAACCTGGAGAAAGTGATTGCAATTAAGAGGTATGCCAGAAATATTTCAGTATTCTTTAGACCATGCCACATAAGCTCAGACAAGTTCAAATAGCTAGTATATAGCAAGTCTTTGGATTGCATTTGCAAAAATTCTGCATGCTCAGCAGTGCTAGGAAGCTCTCTAAAATAAAATGATGGTGCAATGAAAAATCACCCCGGGGGGAGGGGGGAGGGATTGCATTGGGAGTTATACCTGATGTAAATGACGAGTTGATGGGTGCTGACGAGTTGATGGGTGCAGCACAGCAACATGGCACAAGTATACATATGTAACAAACCTGCACGTTATGCACATGTACCCTAGAACTTAAAGTATAATAATAATATAAAATAAAATAAAATAAAAAAAGAAAAAAAAGAAAAATCATCCCAATGAGGTTAAAAAAGGAGATGCATCCAAAGAGTTCCTACCTAATGAATTTTCTGAGTTTCAGATGTATATATATGTATGAAAGCTATGAGTGATCATGGACCAATACAACTGAAGAGAACAAGAGAATCTCAAGGTCACAGCAAAAAAAGTAAGATGCAGAAAGGATTGACATTTCCTGGTACTAAATGCATTTCACTTGTTTTAATCATAAAGTAAAACTTATTTGCTTCTGTCAGAAAAGAAATACTGGAACTGTTGGAACTAATTTGGAAGCCCAAGATTGGTCAGATCATCCCGCAAATCCTTTTCTAGAAGAGTTCAGACTTAAACCTGTGGAGCGCAAATTGCTTAGCCTCTCTCAGTTCTGTTCAGTAATCACAGTGCATGCACTTTTTGTCCCATATTGGGCTGTTAACAGATGACTCAAGGAAGGCTCTATCCTCATGGAGCTTATAAACCAGTGAGAACAGACACATACATAAATTCATAGTTGTAAAAGGCCACAAGTGCAACAAAAGTTACAGGTAAGTTGCGGGCTCTAAGCTTACTGTGAGGCAGTCAGAGGTGGCTCTTTGGAGAAGACAAGGCTTGAACCTTAAAAGATGGGCAACTGCATAACCAAACTTGTAGCATAGCTTATGCAGGGAGGTGCAAGTATAATATCAGTAGAGGGTAGATTTCAGTTGGACAGGCAGATAGTGGTTAAATCGTACAAAAGAATTTGGGAGTTTTGCCTGTAGGTAGGTGATGGGGAATCTGAAGGATTTCAAGTGGTAAATGTTTTCATTTTATTTCATTTTATTTATTTGAGACAAAGTCTCACTCTGTTGCCCAGGCTGGAGTGCAGTGGCTCAATCTCGGCTCACTGCAACCCCCGCCTCCCAGGTTCAAGTGATTCTCCTGCCTCAGCCTCCCGAGTAGCTGCGAGTAGAGGCATGCGCCACCATGCCTGGCTAGTTTTTGTATTTTCAGTAGAGATGGGGTTTCACCATGTTGGCCAGGGTGGTCTCGAACTCCTGACCTCAGGTGATCCACCCGCCTCAGCCTCCCAAAGTGCTGGGATTACAGGCATGAACCACTATGCCCGACCTAAATGTTTTCATTTCAGATGGCTCTGACAGCCTAGGGGAAACTGAGGATAAGAGGGGGAGAATGGGGCAGAGAGCAACTCAGAGTAACAGATAGTATGGACAATTGTTAAATTATGGGGAAGAGGAAGGTTAGAGATAAGCAAAAGTACCTTTTTTTTTTTTTTTGGAGACAAAAAACTGGTAGGCCACCGCAGCCAGCTAATGGTTTGTATTTTTAGTAGAGACGGGGTTTTGCCACGTTGGCCAGGCTGTTCTCGAACTTCTGACCTCGGGTGATCCGCACGCCTCGACCTCCCAAAGTGCTTGGATTACAGGTGTGAGCCATCTTGCCTGGCCAAAAGTACCATTTTAAATAAAAGGAGGAATTCTGCCAATACAAATCTGTGAGCTTGCCATGGGTCACTTGGTTACAAGTGACAAACCCATTAAACTGCCTATAGTGCCTATTTCCAGCATTGCTGGTTTCCAGCTGTACAAGCAAAGTCAAACATTTATTTGTTTCCTTTTATCTATTTTCTTCTTTGTCTTGCTTCATTTCCAAAGTAGCTCTCCCTGCATTGTTGCAAAGATGGTTGCCAGCAACTCCAGCCTTTCTACCAGCTTAGCAACATAGCGGAAAAAGATCAATGTCTGGGAACAACAGACACTGGGGAATACAAGACGGGGAAGGAGGAAGGGGGTAAGGGTTGAAACTACCTGTTGGGTACTATGCTCATTACCTGAAGGACAGATTCGTTCATACTCCCAACCTCAGCACCATGCAATATACCTCTGTAACAAGCCTGCATCATACCCCTGATTCTAAACTAGAAGTTGCAAAAGCTATATACCTCTGTAATAAGCCTGCATATATACCCCGATTCTAAACTACAAGTTGCAAAAGCAATATACCTCCGTAACAAGCCTGCATATATATCCCGATTCTAAAACAGAAGTTGCAAAAGAAAACGATCCATTTGGTTTTTTTCTTTGAGACAGAGTCACTCTGTCGCCCAGGCTAGAGTGCAATGGCGCCATCTTGGCTCACTGCAACCGCCGCCTCCCGGGTTCAAGCGATTCTCCTGCCTCGGCCTCCTGAGTAGCTGGGATTACAGGCATGCACCACCACGCCCGGCTAATTTTGTATTTTTAGTAGAGACGGGGTTTCACCATGTTGGTCAGGCTGGTCTCGAACTCCTGACCTCAGATGATCCACCTGCCTCGGCCTCCCAAAGTGCTGGGATTACAGGCATGAGTCACCATGCCCCGCCAGGATCCATTTCTTTAGTTCCAGAAAAGTCCCTCTACCAACTCTCATTGGTCTGGCTCAGATCATGGGGCCAACCCTAAGCCAATCTCTGATTAGCCAGACTTGGGTCCTGTTTCCATTCCTAGAGCTGGGGATGGGTGTGCCTCATCTAAACCATGCTGTCTGAAGAGCAAGGGAATGGTTTACCACTACTACCCTGCTTGAGAAAAAAACATTTTTTGACAGTTTAAACTGCATCATTGACTGCAATGAAGAAAACTTAGAAGTTAGCAAATCATCTCTAAACATTTTAAAGGAATGAAGCAGAAAATGTAAGACAGGCTAGTAATTGATCCAAAGGAGAAATTCTGAAGGCCAGAAGATAGGAGTCAGCTAATACTGTAATAAATAATTTAGATAATATCCATATAGAACAACTGTAGGTCCAATCCATCCGAGTGCAACGCTGAAGGGACATATTGATTGCATAGGCCAGAATGTTGGCAAAAAGCTGATAAATCCTGCAGGGTGCCACCTGACCACGTGCTGCAAACAAATAACAGCTATAGAGAGGAGAGGCTTGGTTCAATTTCGGTCTTGACTGGTCTGAAGACTCCAGAGGCGGGACGAATTTGCGGACAGTTCTACCCCATCCCACATGGCGTCAGCTTCCCTTCCATTCTCATGACTCCATGGTCCATGGCTCCAACCTGGGCCTCTGTTAGGCTGTGTCCTGTGGCACCTTAAACTCAGGCAAATTAAAAACTGTTCGTGGACTCTACTCTGCTCCCACCTAACCCTCCATCCAAGTCATTGTCCAAGCCAGAAACGGGAGTCATCTCAGATACCTTTCCCACCCTCACCCCACATGCAATCGCTGGATTCCATTCACCTTCTAAGTGTCTCAGTTCATTCTTCCATCCCTCCCGCCACTGGTTTAGTTAGGCACCTCCATTCTCACCTGGACCATCGCTGTAGCCTCGGAGCTTCTGACTGTGTCTCTGGTTGCAGCCCCTACACGCCCTCCTCACAGGAGCAGAGCGATCTTTCTAAACTGCGAAATCAAATCCTTCCAGCACCTGGAGCGAAGGCCAAGCTCCTCAGCTTAGAAGCTAGGCTGCCAGCATGTGGAGTGGGAATGGAAAAGTACATCGGGGCACGAGGGGTATTCGGATGAGGGAAGGCCAGTATCGGTCGCTGAGACCTTAGAGTGTTTCCGAGCTGAGGAGGAAGATATTCACGCGGGCAAGGGGACCCCATCCGTGAAACAGGCCCTGGGGAGGCTGAAGGAGCGCGGCGCGAGCGAAGGCAGAGGGCGGGGCCCCGAGGCCGGCAGGCGCTGCAGTGTCGGGGGCGGCGAGTCAGCCAGGGCCAGGGGAGGTCTGGGCTGGGCCGGGAGGCCGGCAGCCTCCGGGGGCGGAGCCAGGCGACAGGAGGCCTCTGGGGCGGGGCCTTGAGGACTGGGGCGGGGCCTGGAGGCTGATGGCCTCCGGGCGGCAGGGGGCAGCCTCTCCCAAGGCGGCGGCTCTCGGTTCCCTGCTCCGCGTCTTTCGGGCATACAGTGACCTCGGGCGGCGGGTCGCGTCGGCCGGGCATGGCGGCATGGAGCCCGGCCGCGGCAGCGCCTCTGCTTCGCAGGATCCGCGGGGTGAGCGCGGGCAGGGTCGGGGCTGCTCTCCCCGCGACGGGAGCTGCGGAGGGACCGCGGGTCCGGCGGCTGTCGGGGCTTGAGGAACAGCTCCCGGAGGGCGCGCGCAGCACCTGCAATGGGGGGCTCCTCTTCCTTTCTCTCATTCATTCATTCTTTCGTTCATTCATTCACTCTGCGATAACGGCATTCGAAATTTCAAGCTCCAGCGCGCTCTGGGGGAGCTCCCGAGCTGGGTGGAGGTTGAAGGTCAGGCGGACGAACACATGAACAGTCATAGTACAGCGGGCAAAAGATTGATTTACGGAGCAGAAGAGAGGAGTCATAGCCCCAGAGTCAAGGCGTGGGTGCGGGGGACTGCAGCGGGGCCGGGGCCTTGGGAAGGTCGACTGGGCCTCTGACCTTGATCCTCCTCCAAATCCCACACTACCGGAGCAGAACCCAAGCAGGGGGCACTTCCCACGCGCTGTCCTAATCTCTCCCCGTTTCTGATCCATCCTTTGCTTCAGCTCATACCCTTCTTTCTCTTTCCTTTCATTTTCCTTCTCCCCTGGTTCTGAACCTGCTTCTCCTGTGCATGAAAAGAAGTTCTTCCACTGCGGTGACTTTCAGCATGGACAGTGATCATCTGGGGATGTCAGTTGATTGTTCCACTAAAGGCCGCTGCCCACAGATCCACTAAGATAAAAGGCTTCTCCCAAGGATTCTGCAACGCTCACCACTCTCACCCCTTAGTAGCTGCCGATTCTGCCTGCCATCTGGTTACTCTCCGCCTTTACCCCCAAGATTGTGCCCCCAGAAGCAGCTCCATCCCACCCTCACTCCCAGCAATCCTGCCCAGCCTCTGAACATCAAGTTTCTGTCCCTCCATACAGACCATCACACTCTGGGCCTTTCTCCCGTCCTGCATTTCTGTCCCTAATTGAATAGTTCTTCCCCTGCTCATTCATTCATCCGGCACCAAGTGCCTCTGAGAGCCTGCCCTGGGGTCAGCTCTGGGATGCTGCCGGACTCATTTCTGGCCTGTAAGACCAGTGGTGAGAGAGCCAGTGCACAGCTCATTTTAAAGGAGTGGTGCTCTGAGATTCTGTGACACAGGACCCTGCTCTGAGCTTTCAGGAAGGACTGAGGGGTAGAGGGGTGGGACCTTCAGCACCAGCACCCATGAACGGCCCTGGTGTCCTCCAACCTGTCATCTACGTCTAGTCAAGGACCAGTGCCCGGTGCTTCCGTCATTGTAATGCCTCTTACTTGGGCATCTCTCCTGACTCGCTCCTGAAGGCACTGTTTCCTGCAGGTTACTTTGGTACCATGAGACTGGGTTCCATCACCTGGAGTCCCATCTCCTGTCTGATACAGTCCACAATATTTAGCCTGGCATTCAAGGCCTGCCACACTCCATTCCCAGTTTGCCTTTTCAGCATGCACTCAGCCCAGCCAAGTGACTGCCGACCTGCTTTTCTGCTCCTTCACTACTAAATGTTGAGATGTGTTCCATCAGAAACACGGGCTCCCCTGGCCAGGTGCGGTGGCTCACGCCTGTAATCCTAGCATTTTGGGAGGTTGAGGTGGGTGGATAACCTGAGGTCAGGGGTTCGAGACCAGCCAGGCCAACATGGTGAAACCTTGTCTCTATTAAAAATTCAAAAATTTGCCTAGCATGATGGTGGGTGCCTGGAATCCCAGCTATTCAGGAGGCTGGGGCAGGAAAATCACTTGAACCTGGGAGGTGGAGGTTGCAGTGAGCTGAGATCGTGCCACTGCACTCCAGCCTGGGTAACAGAGCAAAACTCTGTCTCCAAAAAAAACACAACCATAGGTTCCCCATGGTAGCCATTGGGGAAGGGGTGTTGTTGCCAGTGGTAAACAACCTACAGATGTTCCTTCTTCAGGTTCTTTCACAGAATTCTGACTTTGCTCCCCAGTGAGAAGGAGTGCATGATGAAGAATAGCTGGCTAATTGAGCAGTGGGCTGTGAGGTCACATCCCACTGGGGAGGGCGAGACATGTTAATCAGGCCTAAAGGTGATGGGAGTGTGGAATTTGGCCCCACCATCCAGGGCAGTAGATGCTGAATGACCTAGTGGTATGGATCTGAGGCAGGTTGTCTAGCTTTTCTGGCTCTATCTTCTTAACGAATTCTACCTTGGGCACATTACTGTGTGCCTCAGTTTCCTTACCTATAAAACTATCGGCATAATAGTGTCACACGACATTATCATGAGGAATCAAACATCTCTTGAATTAGGTTTGGGGCCTCTTGTCTCTGGATTCAAATTGAGTTATTAACAATCATCCTCTCCCCGCCAATAAAAGTTTATTCTGTGTTCCGGGGCACTTACATGGACTCCTGATACCACAGAGCCCCTCTGACATAACCCATGGCTATGCTGGCGAGGGCTCAGGGGCCTGCCTTGCAGGGGAATGGCAGGCAGCCCTGCACAGTGGCCCAGCTCGGGGCAGCAGCATCTTCCTTTGCCCTGACCTTCCTCTCTGTTCTGTGGCAGCTTCCACTTCACCATCGGATGTTTGCCACCCAGACTGAGGGGGAGCTCAGAGTGACCCAAATTCTCAAAGAAAAGTTCCCACGAGCTACAGCTATAAAAGTCACTGACATTTCAGGTAAGGTTTCTCTCATTCTTCCCACGGCACTTTGATAAGATTTTGCCCTTTGGAAGGACAGAGGGTCAGGGGCTTGGAGGAGGGGGCTTGCTGCTGGTGAGTGGCTTCTCAAGATGTGTTGCTGCTGGACAGATGGAGCTCGGCTGCCCCCACCTCATGGGATGGCAGTCAGGATTCAGAAACATCAGAGGGAAACTGAGGACAAGGCGCAGTTGGGAGGACTCAAGGTTGCCAGCCTGGCTCAGCTCGGACAAGGTCCCTCTCTGTCACCCCAGAGCTCAGGTCCACAGTCTGTCATTTGACTTTGAATAGGTTTTGCTTTCATTTTCCCCCATTCTTCTGACGCCCTGGGATATCAGAGCTGGAGTGGACCCCAGAAAGGTTTTCTTCAGCTGCCTTACTTTCCCCAAGAAACGAGCCCAGAGAGGCCAAAGGAACTGCCCAGTTCCTCATAGGGAAGAGACAATGGAACTGGAACCAGAACCAGGACTCAGGGGAGACCCTGTCCTAAGGCCAGTTACCAGCCCCAGCCAAGCTCTGTCCTTCTCAGGCGGCCACTGGCACCTAGAAGTTCAGGCTGGCAGTGTGTTAGGAGCAGTCTGGAGAAGCAACTTCTGCACCCGCAGGATGGGGAAGATAGGCCCTTTATCCACACATACACACGCACATACACACAGAACGACCCGTGGCGTGGGCCGCTGGATAGGCATCAGCCTGAATCTCTCCACACCCAGAAGCAGCCTTTGCCACTCAGCATTGCCACAAGGGCTCACTGACTTTACTGAGAACATAACATTTCCAAGGATTGGGGAGAAAGTTTAGAAAGTAGATTCTATTCTGGAAACTACAGGGAATAAAATGATCTAAAGATCTGCTGGGTTTGGGCACAGTGGCTCACGCCTATAATCCTAGCACTTTGGGAGGCTGAGGCAGGTAGATCACGAGGTCAGGAGTTCAAGACCAGCCTGGCCAACGTGGTGAAACCCCATCTCTACTAAAAATACAAAAATTAATCGGGCGTGGTGGTGCACACCTGTAGTCCCAGCTACTCAAGAGGCTGAGGCAGGAGACTTGCTTGAACCCAGGAGGCAGAGGTTGCAGTGAGCCAAGATTGTGCCACTGCACTCAGCCTGGGTGACAGAGTGAGACTGTGTCTCCAGAAAAAAAAAAAAAATCTGCTGGGGCTGGGCACAGTGGCTCATGTCTGTAATCCCAGCACTCTGGGAGGCTGAGGCAGGTGGATACCTGAGGTCAGGAGTTTGAGACCAGCCTGGCCAACATGGTGAAACCCCATCTCAACAGAAATACAAAAAAAAAAAAAAAAAAAATTAGCCAGGCATGGTGGCAGACGCCTGTAATCCCAGTTACTTGGGAGGCTGAGGCAGGAGAATCGCTTGAACCCAGGAGGCAGAGGTTGTAGTGAGCTGAGATTGCACCACTGCACTCCAGCCTGGGGGACAAGAGCAAAACTCCGTCTCAAAAAAAAAAAAAAAACGTGGCCGGGCACGGTGGCTCACGCCTGTAATCCTAGCACTTTGGGAGGCCGAGGCGGGCGGATCACAAGGTCAGGAGATCGAGACCACGGTGAAACCCCGTCTCTACTAAAAATACAAAAAATTAGCCGGGCGCGGTAGTGGGCGCCTGTAGTCCCAGCTACTCAGGAGGCTGAGGCAGGAGAATGGCGTGAACCCGGGAGGCGAAGCTCACAGTGAGCCGAGATCGCGCCACTGTATTCCAGCCTGGGGGACACAGCGAGACTCCGTCTCAAAAAAAACAAAAAAAAAAACCATCTGCTGGAATGGTACATCAGGTGAGGGCTTTGCAGGGGTCTTGGGACAATGCTGAGGCCTTGATGTTACCAGGTCCTGAACTTGCCCCAGGCCCAGGGCAGAGTTAAAGCTTGATCCAGCTCTGGCTCTGCGCAGTCCTGGACAGAGTGCAGAAGGGGAGTTGAGGCTGAGAACCTGGGTTTAACCAAAACTTGGACTCTCTAACATTATAAGAGAAACAACAGGCCAGGCGTGGTGGCTCACACCTGTAATCCCAGTCCTTTGGGAGGCCGAGATAGGCAGATCACGAGGTCAGGAGATCGAGACCATCTTGGCTAACATGGTGAAACCCTGTCTCTACTAAAAATACAAAAAAAAAAATTTAGCCGGGCATGGTGGCGGGCGCCTGTAATCCCAGCTACTCAGGAGGCTGAGGCAGGAGAATGGCATGAAGCCAGGAGGCAGAGGTTGCAGTGAGCCCAGATCGTGCCACTGCACTCCAGCCTCGGTGACAGAGCACGACTCCATCTCAAAAAAAAAAGAAGCAGAACGAAACCTGTGGAGTACAGTGCACCTCTCGTACAATGGCCTGGCTGTGTTAATCATGCAGGGGACATTTTCTTGCCCGTGTTATTTCATGCTAGAGCTATGTGTTTATCATCATTCATCAGCACCAGCTCTCCAACCAGGTGGAGGAAAGCTCAGGCAGGGGGTGGATGGTCCACCAAGCTCTGGCTCGAGGGCTTCACCAAAAAGTTCTCCCCCAAAACCCAGGATGAAACCCTGGATGCTGTGCTGTGGACCCAGCAGTGCTAGAGATAGCCACGAGCAGCTCCATGCATAGCATGTTTGCTGTGTCCCCGGCTCTCATGCTCCCCTGGTTCTTTCTTTTCTTTGGATAGTATTACACAGTTTTCAAATCAAATTGTGGTGTATTTTTGCCCTTCAAAAAAAATGATCGTCGGTCCTTTGGAAGGTGGAACACTGAAATTCCATCCTTCTCATCCTCTTCTGTGGTGTTTATTGGCCTCGTGAAAGGAAACACTGTCGGCCGGGCGCGGTGGCTCAAGCCTGTAATCCCAGCACTTTGGGAGGCCGAGGCGGGTGGATCACGAGGTCAGGAGATCGAGACTATCCTGGCTAACATGGTGAAACCCCATCTCTACTAAAAATACAAAAAACTAGCCGGGCGTGGTGGCGGCGCCTGTAGTCCCAGCTACTTGGGAGGCTGAGGCGGGAGAATGGCGTGAACCCGGGAGGCGGAGCTTGCAGTGAGCCGAGATCACGCCTCTGCACTCCAGCCTGGGAGACACAGCGAGACTCCATCTCAAAAAAAAAAAAAAAAGGAAACACTCTCCACTCCCTAGGTTGTCCATGCTTTATGCCTTATCTTTCCTGCCCGCAAGTGATAACCCTGGGTGGTGCAGCTGCCTCGCAAAAGGAAGAGCACATTTTGGATTGTGGCAACCTGTCAGGAGGAGCATGTGGTCAGATTGGAAGCCATGATCTTTTCCTAATGGTCTTAGCAACTTTCCTTTGTGCTGAATGATAATATTCAGACCTTTGGATTGTACAGTACTTCGAGGACATATGGGACCATGGCTGCCATGACTTAATAATTGAAATGCTTTTGAATCGTGTTTATTTTAGGAGGTTGTGGGGCGATGTATGAAATTAAAATTGAATCAGAAGAATTTAAGGAGAAGAGAACTGTCCAGCAGCACCAGATGGTTAATCAGGTCAGTAGAGGCAACAGTGCCCCTTGCCACTGGCCTTCAGCCTCCAAAAGGGCCTGCCAAGCATGGATGGTGGTTTTTGCTATCAGTTGCAGGAAAGAATAATGCAGTACCACAGTCACGAAACAGGACTCAAGACCTGAGAAAAATCGAATCTGGGAGTATCTGCATTGTGGCAAATAGGAATTTTATTCAAAATTGAAGCCAGGCCTCCCAATAGTGATTTCGTATGTCCTTGTATAATGCTACTAATGTTTACTGTTATTGTCACATATTGATGAGGATATCTAAACACAGACAGTGCTAAAAGATGCATGTTTTTGTAGATCTGAAGAGGGCTTTTTGGCCTCTCTTTGGGACCGCTTTACAGATGGGTGAGTTGGTGCATGGCATGAGTGAGAATGGCTACAGCTGCCCCAGACCCAGTGACAGAACATTTGGGTTCTGGAACATCATGGTCAACCAGCCTAAGGCTCAGTTTAAATATTATCCATATTTATTTTAATTGGAACTTATAACAACTTTGACCCTTGTTCCTGTACCTATGACTTTGCCCCTCACTGGGTGTGTTTGGCATCATTCTGGAAGGTCTTGCCATTGTGAACTAGTGTTATTTTTGTAAAGCACAGCACTGGTAATGAGCATCTGTTCGGTGGCCTCTCATGCATCAAGTTCAGGTGTCCTAGACTGCTGTTCACGTGTTTCCCCCGCCCTTCTCTGTGTGCACCCTCCCAGCCGGCCTCTGCCTGCTGGTCTCTCTCTATCTGGGCATTTGCCCAGAATGGACCTCCTGCCTGGGTTGCCCTTCCTTCCGTCCTCCACTCAGCTCAAATGCTGCCTCCCCTCCCTCCCCAGCAGGGAATGAATGCCCTTCCCCCGCCCTCCCTGGCTCCCTTTTTTGGCTGTTGCTGGTTTCCGTTTGTGTCCTGAAAACTGACATTCCTGCTGTCTGACCCTGCAACCTGTCAGCCCTCTGTGGACCAGTGCCCTTTGGGATCCATCTTTGTGTTTCTCATGGAACCTAGCCCTCTGCAGTGGATGTGACTCCTACAGCCCTAAGGCATGCTGGTGGTCTGCTGGGTGCTCCAATCACTGAGCCCTCCTGGAAACTCTTCCAGCCCCATGTGATCTCTGGGGTCAGAATCAAGGTAGAAGATGAGACAGGGAAGACCTGGCTGACCCAGATGATCCCCAACCCGTGGCACGTTGGGTTTTATTCTCAGATCTCTGTACAAGCCACCTGGTGAGACTGGACCCACGGGTGCTGGTAATTTGAGTGTGTCCCTTGGCCTGAAGCCACAGTTACAAGTGGCTAAGGAAGCAGATTCTGCAATTGGACTTCCCACTTTCAAATCTGGGCTTTGCTACTTTCTAGCCATGTGACCTTGAGCAAGTTTTTCAACCCTACCCTTTGCCTCAGTTTCCTAATTGAGAGTAACAGTGCTTGCTTCAAAGCGTTGCTGTGAGGATTCGTGATAAAGTACACATTGAGCAC